GTTTTTTTTTTTTTTTTTTTTTTTTTTTTTTGCAGTTAGATAGCCACTAAGTTTTGCCCAACCTAATGGAGTTTAAAAAAATCTGCAACTGCTTTCTGATCATTCATTGATATGTCAGCTGAGCGCCCACCTCCATGCAAAGAAACAGCAAAGGTTTAACTAAAAAAGAAAATGAAACTTAACTATATTGTATATAAAACATAAATTACAGCGTTATTAAGAAATTATTACTTAAAAAAAGCTTATAGTTTTAAGAAAAATAAAACTGATTAAAACTTGATTAGCGCAATTGATGTAACTGCCTAATCAGCTGCTTTTATTGTTTCAAGGTGGATTTTTGGTTTGCTACTGGTGGAGCCGGATTTTGCTTATCTCGATCACTGCTCACTAAAATGGTTTCATATATTCGAAATGGCGGATTTGAGATGCTTGGTGAACAGCTGAAACTACCCGATGACATCACACTTGGTTATTTGATCAGTAAGTCAGATTTAGTGCTTTAGTTAACCGCCAACAATCAAAGAAGTTTTTTTCGTTGAGCAGAATTACTGAAAAGTTGTCATCGTCTGTTTGGAAGAAATTTCGTTTGAAATCTTTCAACTGCTTGTTGATACATAGATTTTCACCTTTTCTAAATAATCGAAAATGTTTTTTTTTTTTTTTTTGCTGAAACTCCTTCTGAAGAATCTTTGCATTTCTGAAAAGGTTTCAAGGACATTCTCACGCTTTCAGTATGCCGAATCGTTTTTTAATCTTTAACTTGCCGCATTTTTTTATCGTCTTTTTTCCTCTTCATAAATTTCATTATTTTTGCTCACTCATATTATCATTTAGATGTACAGTTAGTTTATTCACTGTGTAATTGTATGAGACAACAAATATTGTATCTGAAAAATAGTTGTCAAAACAGTTTTAAATGCTCAATTTGTCTTGTGAAGAAATTATGAAGTAAATTTGGTTTCTATTTATAGTTAAGGTTAGAAAGTGAAAACAAAAGCTGGTTATATAGACAATCTTACTTGAGATTGTTGAACATGCGAAAATATCATCCTCAAAATTAAAAATTTGACTGTCATTTGTATAACTACTGTTTTTTTTTGTCGTGTCAAAAAATTTTTTATTATATGTGAGACAACAAACTTTAGTTTTTTTTTTGTTATTGTTTTCAGATCATTTACTAAACGTCAATCTTACATTTATTCAAAAATTTCATTCTCATCTTGAACCACTACAGGATATTCCAGGTGATGATCTGCGTGATCAGGTAAACACATATTATTTACACTTTGGTACTGCCGTTCTTCTTTTGTTTCTTTTTAAACTATTATTTATAAAAAAAAGAATTTGTCAATAAGATAGAAAAGGCAAAGAAAGTTTTTTTTTGTTCACTATAATTGTTTGTACTGTCGTTTGGTTTAGACTAAAAATTCAATTTTTGATGACCTTCTAGCAATCTCTCTTAGTTAACAGTTTCAGTGATACAGAATTAGGTTATTACGTGAGAATTACTAAGTTTTAGGTGAAATGATGTGATATGAAGCTTAAAAAGAAAAAGTGAAAATTGGAAATGGAAAATTTTTTGTGCAAATAAAAAATACTGAAAGAAAGAAAAGA